CTCCCTTCCTCCCCCCAACAAAAATGTGGCACTTACACTTTATTACACTTCTTAAACTACAAAAATACTCTTCATAAAGTCCATCCCTGGTTTTTTTTTTCCCATCAGACAGGCACCGGTCTCCCACCGGCGTAATCGCTTAACCGCTTGACGTCAATGCCCGCCTCCAGGTTGCTCTTGGCGGCCATATTGTCCTTGAAGATGGCCGAGTCTCGGATGGAGTCCCGCCCTGAGTCCCGCACCGAGTCCCGGTTGCTGTTCTTGACGTCGGCGTTCGACGTCTTGACCGCCGTCACCACGGGGGGCGAGGAGGGGATGACCTTGGGGGGTGGGGCCCCCTTCTTGGTGACCTGGTAGAGAAGACGGTGCCGCCAGCGCGTGACATAGAGCAGCATGATCAGGACAATGCAGATGGCAAGGAGTACGGCTAAGGTGGAGAAAATGACTGGCAGGACGGGGAATGGCTTGGATGTAGAGGATGAGGACGACTCGTTATTCTCAAGAGTTGTTTTGGAAGAAGAATCTGGAAGAAAAAGATTTTTAAAATCCTCCAAGTTTTCTGTGGTAGCTGGATAGAACATTTCAAACGACGCTATGATGAACAGAAAGAACAAAGCATGGGACATTTCCTATTTTGATAGAGTGGACAGGAAGGACAATACACCAGAGACCTACAGTAATGTTACAATCTAAGAATTGACTATACCTTCTTTCTTGCTACAAATACCAAACTGGCCGACAAAAGCTACTTATTCATAACCTACGTATGGAGTTTCTTAGGCAGTAAACGCGACTTGAAAATGATTTGCTGTACTCACCTATTGCATTCATGTTTGGCACGTGGTTGGGCATAACTGGGGTGAGTTGTGTATCAATATCATTAACAGGTGCCACTTCTGCAAAGGAAATGGGCAAACAAGGTACAGAAATGAAGTCTAGCAAAGTTCCAATGTGTATAGGCGGAAACCTCTTGTCTGGAGTGTGCTTCTGTTTAGGTTCTTTTCAACGAGCCGATGTGTGTGCTTGGATAAAGGTCCGCAACGGAAATGGACCAAATTTGTGTTGGTGTCTCTAGCAACCGGCAACACCTCCCTACTGGTTTGCATACAAAATCTGTTCAATGTGTAAATGCTGATCAGTTCAACGACTCCCAAGCTGATTCCCATGTGAAGCAACAATCGAGGCAATACACACATTACTGGCTTTGATGGGCCACTTATGTGGCTTTATGCCTGCTTGTTATTTCTTCAAAGTTCTTGCAACTGTAGATATATTTGACAGGGGCGCACCTATGCTTTCTTACCATTATTGAGATCAACGACTGGCTCGTCTGTGTTTCTTGGTGTGTTGTCTGGAAGAGGAAGGGAGGAAATTAATCGGTTAAACTGCACCAGAAATACTTACAAACAAGTAGAATCATGCATCGTCACTGAGTGAATCACTGAGGCAAAAATTGCATGACTGAAAAGCTTCTCTTACTGGGACATCGTGGGCAGCATTCACCGGGCATGATGACCGAGTTGCTACAGCTGGTGTCGGGACAGTCAGGCACAACGCAGCCCGTCTTGCCTTCCTTGCACATGCAGTGGATGCACAGGTCCAGGTTCCAAGTCTCCCCGTCGACGTACATCACCCCGTCAAACTCACAGTGCGAGACCGGCGTAGGCCCTGCCATCATAAAAGGTAGGAATAGCTATTTTACACGATGCCTTCCCTAAAACCTCCACGTCTTTGTAAATAGAGGCTTCTAGTGTTAATTAATTATGAAATGATGCTCTGGCTGTGTCCAAAAGTTAGGGCTGTGGCTGACAGCAGCATAGTCACATTTGGAAGCCACTCAAGAGCAGCAGTTTAGAAGTTCACGCCCAAGTTCAGCATATTTAGGAACAATTTCCTAAAACAAAAACCTACCTATGCAAACAGGGCAACACTGGCCCTTCTTCAGCACTGGTACCCTGCAGTCCACCGGTGTGCAGACCTGTGAGTAGCAAGTGACCTCGCCGTCTCGGCAAGTGCAACTGGTACAGTCGTCTTCCTTCCAGGAGGCTCCCGACTCGAAGAAGACACCGCTGACCATCTGACAGCTGCTGGGTGGCCGGATGTCGTCCGGCGTGGCAGACCCGTTCAGGGTGTTGTCTGCAAATTAAAGACAATTTTATTTTCCCTCGATTTAAGACCTGGTACTTTGTTTTCAGATGGAAGAAAATATTGGTGGACATTGCCACCGTGATGAGGGCACAATGCCTTCAAGAAGAGGCTCAACGAAGCAGTGTGGTGAACAAGCTGTCTTTAACTTCGGTCCTCAAAACTGATACCAAGTTCAAGCCAATACTAACAAGATGCACATTCGACTGTACATGGGAAAAACTCAAAACCAACAACCAAACCAATATCATCTAAGCCCACAATCCACCCAAATTCAGTCAAGTCTAGTCCAACCTAACCAAACCTATTCTCCTTTACCCATCAAATCAAACCCGAATCAACTTACCTCAATTCATACCAACCTCCTGCTTCAAACCAATCCCAACATGACCCATCCAACTTCAAAGTAACCCATCTCTTGTTGACCCTTCCCCTGTCTAGCCCAAACCCATACTGATCCAACCCAGTCCTCCCCACCCAATCTCTACAAACCCAATACTACTCCAACCCATCTCATTCAATACCAACCCACATGAACCCATCACTGCCAATACTCCACCTCCATGTACCTGGGCATACGGGGCAGCATCCACCCTCTCCCACGACAGGCTGGTTGCAAGGCAGCGGAGGGCAAGCCATGGTGGAGCAAAGAACCCTACTGTCATGACAGACACACACTGTGCAAGAGTCGGCATTCCAGGTCTCCCCTTCGATGTAATACTCTCCCCTGAGTGACTGACAAACACTGTGGCTGACCACAGGCTCAAGGGTGCCACTGTCCGGTAAGTCTGCCAAATAATAAAACCACACTTAAAACTAAATTGACCAGAACTAGGGAGACTAACTCAAATATCAAGGGCACCCAAAGCTAAGTCTGAAGAAAACAAAAATGTACATTTAAAATATAACGGTGGATATCAAACCGAGCATTACACATCTTGTGTATTTGATTGTAAAGAATCCCATGCAATCTGCGAGTTTAAGACTTCACTACTTTTGATTGACAACTGGGAGATCTGAATGCCCAAGTACCTGTAAGTTTTAAAGCAAAAATATTTAAGGTTTTCATTCTTAAAATTATGAGCATCTGGGATGTCAGAGAAATTCCAAAGGACCAAAGAAATCCCAGCCAACATGTTTCTAAACTTTTTAACATTTTGTTCGGCTTGTCTGACCTCCCAACCCAACGAGGCAGACATTCGTCCATGTGACCCTTATCTTTTTACCTGGACAGGTTGGACAGCAGTCGCCCAGCCTGATGGTGGGCTGGCTACACTCGGGCACAGGGCAGGCAATCAGCGAGCACATCTCCTTGCCATTGTGGCAGAAGCACTCCCGGCAGCCGTCGTGCCAGATCTCGCTGTCGTCGTGGATACGGCCGTCCAGCGTCAGGCATGAGCCCAGGGTGACAGGGCGCAGCGTGGGCAGTGGGTTGCCTAAGAGATGAGCATGAGTCAAGAGAAAATTTGTCAAGTTGTTGAAGCACTAAGAGCTAATGGGCTGGAGTAACACTGACAGGCAGCCATCTTTAAAAAATACACAGTCTCGCATTCATTGTCAGTGGCTCAATATCTATAAAATTCACCATCCAGATGACTTTTCTGTTCAAAGTATCTCTTTAGTACTTTTTGCTTTCTGCATAAAATCACCATACTGGCATAAAAGTGAAGCTACACATTCAAGTGAAGATTCTTAAGCATTATTACTGTGCAGGTTACTACACTACTTGCCAACAGTGCATTCAAATATTCAAAGCTTGCAAGTGCAGCCTCCTTTTCAACCTGACCTTGCAAGGGCCCACATCTCACAAGGGAATTCATTCAGAGACGTATACAATTCAAGTAACTAATGTGCCTGAAAGCAACTTGTCAGTGTGGCACTTTTTTAAACTTCAAATTACAATTGTAAGTTAGCTGATCTGAAAATGGTGATGTGTTTTTTTTGAGGAGCAATCAATTCTAGGAGGGAGTTGGGGAATAAACACAATGCTAGAGATGGAAATCTTCTCTTACTTTTACATTTACAGATCTCACAGCCTCGGTCGTCCCTCTCTAGTCCATGGGTGCACTGCTTGGTGCAATCCACCAGCATGGGGCAGTTCAGGCACTTGCAGCGTGGGCAGCCGTTGCGACCCGTCTGGTGACCATACAGGCAGGTCTTGTCACAGGGCTCGGCCTCGGGGCAGGCCGGCTTGCGCAGGCACTTGCAGAGGCGGCAGCCTCGCTCGTCTGTCCGGTAGCCCAGTGGGCAGAGCTTGGGGCAGGTAGCGATTAGGTCTGGGCAAGTTTCTGAAGGTGGAGAGAAGGAAGAAACCGAGATGTTAGTTGGACCTAGTGCAAAACACACTGGCATGGGTTCAGTGCTTTCTCTGGCCTTTATTTTTTGGTAAAATGTTTGAAATGAGCTGAAATGAAATGAGAAATGAGCACAGCTTCAGAAACTAACTGGATCCAACTAGACCACCGAATTTTCTTGTTTCCAGGGTCTGTCATCATAGCAACAATGCTATTCGAAAATATGAGAATAAAACCCTTGGCTCATAATTCTAATAGAATGACTGGTTTAGGCATGGAAATGTGCCATTTTTTGGAAGCAACTTCTCTCTGCTGCTAAAACTGAAAACAAACTTGTTCAAAAATCTTTTTGAGGCTGGAAGAAAACAAATAAAACTGTAAGCTTTGAGACACTTTTCTAATCAACAAGACCTTGGTTTCAAAGATTAATTTAAGGCAGTTTACGGTGGCATCAATCTTTCAAATGCAGAAATACAGGCTGCCCATACCTGTGTTACATTCACACCTCCTGCAGCCGTCCTTGTCCATCTGGAGGCCTAGAGGACACACCAGGCTACAGTCTAGAGCTGGACAGACGATGGTGGGTGGCGTCACGGTTGTCAGAACACCAGGAGTTCCTGTGGGAAAGGGAAGCACGGCGTCAACAGTTTGAGAAAAAATCACTTACATCTTCATACACGTACATGTCCAAGTACTGTGTGGGAATGGTGGTTACAGAGTCACCGAGAAAACACTCAACATGTCTGAGTATTGAAAACGACTGGTAAACTAGTGGTTGATTTGTGAAATACATCACAACTAAATGTACGTGTAAATAGAAACCACTAGAAATGGCGCTGGAACAGACTACAAATGCGGCTTGGAAAAAACTTGGTAGTCCTTTCACCTTGTCATGCGGTTATTTCAAGAGATCTACTTATGTAGATGTGATAAGTTTGATGTGAAATACATATTTCTTAAAACATGTTCAATGAAATCTCAGTGTTAAATGGTAACTTCACAATCTACTTTTCCAAAGGCACCCATGAATCCGTACGCATACTTTTTCTAAAGGATCCTATTTTAGTACAAATTTCTCCAGTGACACACTTCACTGCCACCAAAGCAATTGATCATCCCAGCTCCCTGCAGCACACTGTGATACCTGCGGATGCCGATAACCAGTGATTCAATCAGTCTTGGTCGGCTGGCTTTGAACAGTCAACTTGACTCAGTTGAACCACAGTCAACTAGCATGTGTCCCATCAGAGCATTAGTCAGTGTTCATGGTCAATGATATATTGTACAACTATTTCTTAGGGTAACACTCACCCATGACACATTCGCAAGTCATGCACCCACTGCTATCGTGTTTGTACCCATGATGACACTGCAGAGCACAGCTCATCTTCGGGCATTCCACCGGCACTATAGTGACAAACGTTGGCTCTGCAACCAGGCATGTGAATTTTAGGTTAATTTTTAATCTCTTTTTCTCCTGATCATTCCAAGGTTAGAAATGTACATTTTCAGCCATGATTCTTACATGCTCCATGCATAAAGCAGTCTACCTGTTCAGTTAAGAGCCATTTCAGCATCTTCTATTCTAACATGTAGATTTCAGTTAGGCTAACGTTGGGTTCATTACCCATCCCTATTCCCTCCTCCGCTCCCTTCCCCTACCCCCAACCCGATACTGTTAACTTAGCCCCAACTCTAACAGGACTAAATCCTCCAATTTCAATTTGATTTTTGACTTATCCTAGAGAGGTAGGGCTAATTAGTTATGTCACTGCTTAAGGTCCGGTCACCTGAACAAGATGTGGGGAAGATACAACCCCTTGTCTGCAGCACATCTGAGCAGACTATGAAGATTCCACCGTTACTCAACTCTTTGTGATACTGAGCCACAACACAAGACACTTTTAAGAATCTTACACCGGCTTTCAGAGGCTTGTAGAAAGTTAAGACGCCAAAGGGCTCATGTCATGACCCTGCGACCCTTACCATCGCACACAGGACAGCATATCCCAGGCACCTTGCGGGCATTCAGGCAGTTGGTGATGCAGCTCGCCACCTGGCACCGCACCTCACCACTGTGGCACTGGCAGGACGTGCAGTCGTCCTGAGCCCAATGCTCCCCTGGTGTACGCAGCCCAGTCTCTGTGTAACACACCAGCAGGCTCTCCTCGGCATAACAGGCCTGCGTGATCTCACAGTACGCTGTGCCATTCTGGCATATGCACGTCTTGCAGTTGCCCACGGTCCACGTGGCGCCTTCCAGGAAAAGCATGTCCTCATGAATACAGTTCTCCATGATCTCCACTGCAGTGGAAACAGGGGGAGATCAATGGAATTACACCATTATTCAAACAAGCTTCAAATTTACAGAACACCTGTCATATGCCACTGTATTTCATACGAAATGACAAAAGCCACGTCTGAATCTTGTGCCAAGATCTAGGTCTTTGGTAGCTAATACATGGACGGACAATAACAGTCAATGCTCTGGAAGCCCATTTCAGATAAAGCCTAAAACTTGCTTTGAATGTGTCTTGGTAATACTTGGAAAGGGTAAGGCCTGATTAGTAATACAATAAGCACAATTTAGATTCTTCTGAGCTGGCTTGCTGGATTCGTTTCAATGCTGGATGTTATAGTTACCAATATTAATTCATACCAAATTCAAGCACATTTTCAAACCTGCCGAAAGGGTGAGATCTCAAGAAAGACCAAAACATTCGCACAACAAAACTGTTAAAAGAGAGTTTGTTTACTTTTAGAACAAGAAAGGAGCCACTGAAAAAGTTGTGTCATCATTTTTCTGATGACAAAATCATGGTAACCTACTAGCCATTTCCACACTTTCCAGTACAAAATTCAAATGGTATTTTGGCTTAAAATCATATTTATTTACTATATGTTATGTTTCTGAATGCTGGGGATGCAATGAGACAGAGTGACAGGTCAAACCGTCTGCGGTTTGGCCAAGGCATGAACCCCGCCAGTAACCCACTCAGAAGAACTCAATCCCCGAATATAAATAATGTGGTAGCACGGAATCGAGGTAACATGGATGCCGTACCTGCTACGCAGTCATATGTGTCACAGCAGTGGCCCAGTTCCAATGTTGCCGTGGCAACCCGCTTAGGGGAAAATGCAGGCCAACAGGTGGGTACTTCGCAACTTTCGGGCTCGCATTCGCACCTGTGATGGGTCGAAGGTCAATTAAAACAAAACACAAAAATGATTGAAAGACAACTAACTAGCACCCTCACTGCCTACGAAGTTAATAAATAAATTTCGCGTGTTATACATAGCAAGGTGTACAAACATGAAATGCACTGTCACCATCAGAAAGTATACATGAAATGACAAACACTGCCGTAGGAATTTCTGAAATATAGCTTCTCTAATTTTGAAAACGGGCTCTATAAACTTGGCCAGCTATTTGTATCTCCTTGAGAGTGCAAAGGCCTACTGGACCAATTTCCATCGAACCTTTTCCGTTACAAACAAATGCCTTGCACACTGACACAGTGACCTGTTCAAAAGACTCTTCCATGTGCAACAAAAGCTAATGTGGACAAACAAGTCGGCCAGTTTGTTTGCTTAAGGAAGATGAATGGGTAACATTTGGTTGCCCTCTTTGGTACGGTGCCCAGAAATCAAACTGCAAAAGGACAAGCCGTATGTTACCCTAGTTTTACCACATTAACTGGAATAGCATGTTGCCTGACAGTTCACCCCACAATCAACTGTGTTTGTGCGAGCAGGGGCACAGCAGGCCATTTCTGCAGCGTGGACTCTGTGTTTTCTTTTAGAATGACATCCCCTTGACTGGGCAACATCAAATCCATGCACAGGGTTCACGTGCATTTGGCATAGGACGTGCTGTGCAGTTTTCCTTTGAATGAAGGGTTTTGCACACACGTATGCGCCATGCACCAAGTTGGGTTGTTTGTTTGTTTGTTGGGGTGTTGGGGGTGTATGCACCTCCAGGGGATGTTTGTTGGGTTGTTTGTTTGTTTGTTTGTTTGTTTGTTTGTTTGTTTGTTTGTTGGGGTGTTTGTTTGTTTGTTTGTTTGTTTGTTTGTTTGTTTGTTTGTTTGTTTGTTTGTTTGTTTGTTTGTTTGTTTGTTTGTTTGTTTGTTTGNCAAGTCGGCCAGTTTGTTTGCTTAAGGAAGATGAATGGGTAACATTTGGTTGCCCTCTTTGGTACGGTGCCCAGAAATCAAACTGCAAAAGGACAAGCCGTATGTTACCCTAGTTTTACCACATTAACTGGAATAGCATGTTGCCTGACAGTTCACCCCACAGTCAACTGTGTTTGTGTGAGCAGGGGCACAGCAGGCCATTTCTGCAGCGTGGACTCTGCAAACACATGCAGTCCATGCAGAAACAAGAGATGGCCGTGTTTTCTTTTAGAATGACATCCCCTTGACTGGGCAACATCAAATCCATGCACAGGGTTCACGTGCATTTGGCATAGGACGTGCTGTGCAGTTTTCCTTTGAATGAAGGGTTTTTGCACACACGTTTGCGCCATGCACCAAGTTGGGTTGTTTGTTTGTTTGTTTGTTTGTTTGTTTGTTTGTTTGGGTGTTTGTTTGTTTGTTTGTTTGTTTGTTTGTTTGTTGGGGTGTTTGTTTGTTTGTTTGTTTGTTTGTTTGTTGGGGTGTTGGGGGTGTATGCACCTCCAGGGGGTGTTTGTTTGTTTGTTTTGGAGAGTAAGGGGATACCTCCAGTCAGAGCAGATGCTCCTAGCAGGGCAAGCAACAAAAAGAGAAGGTATGTAGATACATGCAGTGGTGTAGCCACAAAAACTTACCCCCCAAAAAACACACCACTGAAAGCTGGTGCCCCCATTAGATGCTGGTATCCCCTTTGTGCCCCCCACTAGTAAAATCCTAGCTACGCCACTGGTTACATGTGCACTTGGCTGCTGTTCTCGCTGTTTCCCCAACACTGAAATGCACTGATCCTCTCACGAAACTAGGTAACAAGTTTGTGCACATTCAGATGAAAACTGGTTGTGGGCATCTCTCGAGCCGTATACATATGAGAATCACTGCACTATGAACACAATGTAACTGTCACTGGGTCCACAACACCATGTAATTCCCAACTGACTTCACATTGTAACATCAAAAAGGACACATGGACCACTTCAGACGAGACACTGATGATTAAGTATACACTTACCTGCTTGGAGTCCCACAGCAACCATCCGGTGTGAAGCCCCCTGGGACGAGTGTGGTTCCTGGGGGGCAGACCATGGGGCTGGCGGACACCTCTGCACAGACAATGCCTGCACACTCTGGCATGGTCTGCACATCTGTTGGATTCAAAAGACAGGTCCAAGCACACGGCAATGTTTGATTTGTTCTACAAGAAGACATACTGCCTACATGCTGTCACATAAACTCAGTTTCAGAGTTTTAACACCATGGATTTAGGAAGGCAATGCATGGTGGCCACAAAAGGACATCCTTGTCAGAAGTTTTTTTTCTTAAGACATCACAAAGACTCCTACACCTGTCCCCTACCATTCCTGACATTCTTGCCAAATTCAGAAGAAGCCACAAGATTATGTCTGTGATGGGAATTACATTTCTGAATCTTGAACATCATTGTGTCATATTTTACAACAAACTGCATACTGCGACCAGTACACGTACCCGTACATTTCAATAATTTATCTGCCAGAATAAAAGTATACAAGCAGTTTGTGTACCATTACATTTGTCACATTTTAAATTCCCCGGAGCAAAAGGTTACAAAATAATAGCACTATTGAAATTCTCTGAATAGTCATCAATGCTTGCCAAATTAAACCATCCTTATTCTTTTTAGATTAACCTCAAGATATATTTTATCATGTGCATTCGTAAATAGCCGCCGGATCTCTCAATATGTGAAAGGGCATCAGTTGAGGTATAAATCACTTTTTTGTTTTGACAAGTATGGGATATTTTTATTAAGGGGACCTTGGTTACACATGACAGCATTCAGTCGAGATGCAACCACAATCTTTAATGTCCTGCAAACTCCTTTCAGTTTTGAGTAGTCCAGCACACATTCTTTCACGGTGACAGAAAATCTGGGTCAACAGACATTGGATCATCCTCACTACTATGTGCCTGGTATAAACTCGGGGGGGGGGGTGCGTATTTTGTGCATTACCCTTGCCATGCATGACCAACCCGGTGCTTGCGAGCAATGCATAGATCCCAAAGGATGTCACTGCTGGGTAAGAAGGCCTCCTCTCATTCTCTCCAATAGAAGTCGCACAGTATACATAATCTGACCCTCTTATGACCAACGGAAGGCATTTGAGACTAGCTTAACCAGCTGTCGCCCACTACTAATTGGCCTGAAGTGAACACTATTGTTGAAGAGCAAGGAATGATGTATCGGTGCATGTACTGACACATGTTATATTTGCATAAATTTACCCCTAAAAGGCACTTCCATTATTTCTTTGGCCACTGTGAATTTTCCATTACTATCTGTAAAAAAACCACATTAACTGTAAATATTCTAGATTTCAAGAGGTTCACTGACAAATCCAAAATGAAAATCCTAAAATCAAAAAACTAACCCCAAAAAAATTCAACTAAGAGGGCAAATATGGACAAATTTCAGCCCTGTGTTTCACAGGGCCATATTCCAAACCTACCTTTGGGCTTGCATTCATACTGATGACAACAGCTCCCTGGCTGGCCCGTGGCCACCCTCACCATCACTTTGTTGTACTCTTCCCCACACAGCATGTCTGGGCACGAGGCAAAGTCGCAGCGGCAGGTGGCTGGCTGGGGGCAGCACTCCCCCGGCGGTGGGTGGGGCTCCATCTTGAGGCTGTCTGCCGGGCAGGTGATGTCAAAGACAATCTTGCAGCGGGCACTGGCGCAGTCCGTGATTTTATCTACCAACAAAGAAGCAACGAAAGGTCAACTGCAAATACGTGTACTGTATCCAGAGCAAGGTTTTCTACACTCCGTTGACAAATCTGGCAAAAAGAATTGGAAGCCATTACTGGGGGCCATCCTGTTCACACAAAGGTGGTACACGCACGTTACATTCCTCTCGAACCGATAGGGTGTCGAGACTTACCAAAGTGCATGGGTGCGCTCATGTTAAGACTTGTGCGTGAGTGCCGTGGCCTGCAGGAATAGCATTTCCTTGGATTTGTCATAAGCAAGTAGCCAACAGTTCTATTCAGGTTGTCATTTTTGAAGTCTGACTGAAGCTGGAGGGTGTATGTTGTGCCTATAGCCCCTGTTCTTCCAACGATGCACCACAGAAAGTAGCCACAATCACACCATGGTGTGACATTCAAGAATCAGTGAGATCTACTGGCACTGAAAACACTCCGCTCAATGCTAACCCTGCTCACCAGGCTTACAAACATTCTCAAGACCAACACAGTAGTACTAAGCTGCAGTTGTGTTTTTCAAACAAGACTGAGCTACGTGCAGACAACATCAGACTTCAAAGGTCACCCAAACAGCACAGCTTCAGATTCAAGATGACGATGAAACCATGGAGATAATTCTTTAAGATCTCATTCTGTCTCATTCCGTAGTGATGAAACAGAGACCACTCCAAGGCAACCCTTGACAATCTTCACTCTCAGCCTAGAGCAAGCCATCATTCCATTCCTATAAGCCGAGGGAAAGACGGCAGTTTGAACATAAATGACTCCCAAAAAAATCTTCGGAGGGCTGTAACGTATAACGCTACTGCCGAGATTGGAGCCTCATCCCAGCAGGAAAAATAACCTCCAGTCCAGTCCGGATCACTTTTCTTTTTTTCCCTGAGTAAAATCAACTCAAGAGAACAACCTGGAGGCATTCTTGGCTGGCTATCTCAGTCAGAGATTCCCCCTCAATCCCTTCAGAGGATAGAGTGTCAACTCTTGAACTTCCTCAGGTGTCTAGTCATCGATGGGCGCAATTACTGATTTTGATCCAGACCAGATAGCCAGACAAACCCCCCAAAAAATGAATCACGGCTGAAAGTACAGATACGCACAACACTCACGAATTCAGGAGTTTCATAAGAGACAGACAGACGCTGCAAAGAGAAGAACAAAGACCTATAAGGCAGAGAGAAATTGCTTTCATGTACTGTACTCAATTTATGGGACTGTTTTGGAGTTCAAAAAGGAGTTCTTGTTGGGGGAAAGGTGTGTGAAAGTGTGTGTTCTCGAGTCAACTTGTGTCAAGAAATGGTTACACTGTACACCATTTCCTTAAAGTTGTGACAGCTTTACCCATGTACAGTAGGTAAAATACAAAGAATCTTACAGGTGAGTATTATCACACATTTAGAGGGGAAAATCCTATGAACAGAGCATGAAGGACAAATTATACTGATGTTAGCTTTGGAAGGAAAAAACCTCTACACTGACAGGAAAAACCACCTATACGTACATAGAGCCCAGTAAAATACAGGTTGTAACCCAGTAACTCACTGTACACTAAGTAATGACATCATTCTCAAAGTGATGGCTTTTAGCAAGTTGGACATACATGTAATTCTCCTCAACAGCTTTGGAATAACAGCTAGCTGTCTCTTCCCTAGTTGCTCTCATGCTGTCTCGTTATTTTTACAAGCATTCAGGTGAAACGATCAAAAGAGATCACACTGGAATGACAGGAAACTGTGGATTATTTAATTTACAGGGGCTCAGGATGCTAGTCAGTTTGATTTTGCCTTAAAAGCAAATTTGGGTGGTGTCAGCAATAGAGTGCTGCATGGTAGTTCAAACCTTAGGGGTGGGGATGAAAGCTATCTAAACCCTAGGGGTGGGGAGGAATGGTTATCAGAACCTTAGGGATGGGGACGAGTGGTTATTCCAACTGAGGGGGAAGGGACAAGTGGTTATCTCCAATCCAGAGATAATGTGCAAGTATGTGCACAAAGCCGATTGCAACAAAAAATCAATCATCTACATGTACCACTAGGAGAGGTGTGTAACCATGGTAATTCCCCTTTAAACTGTACCATTCAATTTCCTCTTGGAACCAACTGGAACCAATTGGAGTTTGTAATTGGTAACCAGGTGGATCAAGTCAAATTACTTTGGTCTGGATTTGATTTGTATATCTGGTTATGGATAAAAAAGTAAGGGCTGCCTTTGCAAGTATTTACGAGTACATTAAATACTTAAATCCCTTCACCTCGAAATTAAATTAAGATACATGATAAGACACTGCATGTGTAACAAGTATGACAGTATCTTAGAAATAAAAGATTTCTACCATGAATCACAAGCCCAATAACAAAAGCTGTGTATGATCAGCCAAACGAGTAGCTGCAAAAATTCCAAATTTAGTGGATCTAAACAACAGAATAAGTCTCCTAATAAACCCACATTACTCTTAAAAAATTATACTTCCCTTCCTTCGAGATGCTTCCAAATTAGCTCCAATACTGGCAAGTATGGATGCCTAAAATAAAAAGACACATCCTGTAGATCTGTGAGGACAATGTCCTGTCCCCCCTCCTGTGCCCTGAGGCCACTGAATTCTGACCATGACCTCACCTCGGCCACGCATTTCTCCCCTCGGACTACCACCCCACTGAGGGCAAGAAAGCAGAGATTTGGACTGGGAATAAATTAACACATCCCCATGTAATCCCCGGGATTGGCTGGTCATCAGTCTCCCTGCAGGCTGTGCTGCTAACCAGAGCTGGGTGCCGTCCTTAGTTCTCATAACTGGTATTCGTTTGGCTAGCCACCATGATCCCTACAACAGGAAGTACCTGTATATACCTCAGTCTATTTTTAACAGAGCAAACACAAGTACATGTCTGCTTGCCAATATAGTCCACACTGTTCAGGCTCGCTTGTAGTGTACCATTGAGCAAGGAACAGTGCCCATACTAACCCTTGTTCCAAGTGTATTATCTTTCGACATGCAGCCTACATGTCTATGATCAAAATTTTCAATTACCGCTACCTACAGGGCACAGAAACGTTATGTTTTAAATTTGTCCTGTCGCAAGGAGGTGATACATAGACAAACGTGCACTATTGAAACTGCACGCATGAAATTTACCTCTCATAAATTCTGAAGATCTCTTTTTTATTTCCATGATCAGATGTGCAAAGAAGTAAGCTTCAGACTCAGTAAAGATGTATTTAACAAAGGAGCTTCAGAGCTTCCCCAAGCAGTCGTGTAATATTACTCCAAAGAACTTATTCTTTACAAAACAATTTCTGATTAATCACAACAGCAACAGAACTTTTCTGAGAACTAGGAAAATAAAACCTGACTCTTAATAAAAACAAGGTGTTCAGCTTTCATCTTTAATCTAAATTTGGCATTCCAATTATTTGTCCAAACACAAATTACTAAACCCGGCTTGTCATCAGTAACAACTTGTGTCACTGTGTTTACGCAGGGGAAAGAGGCAGGGAGTTTTGGAGGGGTCGTGGGTTCACAGGGGTCTCAGTACCCAGCTTGGGTGGGCGGCCATGTTTGCCTGGACCTGTCAGCTGGAGACAGGAGTCTCTGGGATTCCAGGGAAGGATTGTTTGGCAGGGACAGCCAGCTTTGGTTACATCACCTGTCAAGTGTTCTCTGCCAACCATTATGGACAGACTTCCAGAATTTCAACCATATTTTTGTTAATGGCATGTTGCCCAGCTGAAGTTCTAGACCATTTTATGCTTGGAAATTTGCTAAAAAGCATAAAAAATATTTGCTTAGGAATGGCAGATTACCAGCTAACAACCTCTGGTATGTGGACTTGCCTCTGACTGGATCTCTGATAAGCTGTAAGTTCTGATAAGCACATACATTTCCCAAGTAAGGTTTTTTGGCTGAGCAGTTCTGTGAAATTTAGTCCCCAAGGGAAGATTTGGGAACATTTTGAGAGAGAAAAAATTTAAATGTAGACAATTTGAGAACTTTAATATAACTGTAGTATAACAAACTTTGAGAAAACGTCAACGAACCATTTTCTTTAACTTTTTTCCGGGGAAAGGGTAGAAGGGGCAGAAAGTGGGCAGATAGAGTTTGAAAGGATACAGCCACTGCTTTCAATTCCTGCTAATTGGCCAGTCCTGATTCTCTACTTAGCTAAACAAGGGTCTTGCCCCACTTAACTTTGTTCCCAGTAGCTTTCTACCAAGTATCCACAACCACAAATTGCCCCATCAACCAATCACAGCAGTTTTACACGTACAAAGGATGGAGACGTTTCATTACGTCAAATCATTCTTGAGGCATCCCTCAAACCACGACGAGGTTCCATTGTTGGCCCCCTTTCCTTCAACCAAAAGACAGCAATCAACATCTCCGGGGCAACAAAAATACAGGCAGAGTAAGTCTGGGCAGTTTGAGTGACAGGGCAAAGGTACTAGAAGGGTAAAACTGTAGCATGTCTACACCACACAGAAAAACCACTCTTGCTTTGGTCAGAAGTAGAATGTAAAAGTGAGGCCTTTCCCCTTGTCATCCAATTCACTGTCACTTATTACAAATTCCCTTCTCTTCCTGAACATAACCCTAACTCCCTTGGCTTTTTAGCTAGGAACCCTTAATCTTCGGACATCCATCAAGCTCGTGTGAGTTACCTGTAACAGTGAATGGGTTCTCTCTATACATGTGTGCTACCTTCCTCAACCCTGCAAAATCCTCCTAAACCTCCTAGTTGAGTTTGAAAGATATGGAAGACTTCCATCTACCTCTACCCCCTCCCAACCTCTGTAATTTTAATTTACACCACCTTGTTGAAATTGTCAAACAAAAGCAAAGTTTTTTATCTTTTTACAAGCAACGCATTCAGCATTCTCCACATAAAATTACACCAAGCTTCAACAAAGAAAATTGTGTTTGCTCAAGTGATACACAAAATCCTTTCAAATGTGTATGTCACACCACCCTTTACGCTACATGAAGCTACTCCAAC